AAATAAAAAATAAAACCAAAGGTCCAGGAAGGTGTGCATGGCGGTTCCTAAGTGGGCAGTGACCACAGCATGTCTCTCCCCTCTCCTGCTAGTAGACCCAGGCGCCCCGTGTAAGCGTTCTGGACGCCTGTCACAGACCCCGCACAGCCACCCTGGGGGGAGGGACTGCCTCTGGCTCCAGGCTAGAGACCAGAAAACTAGGATCGGAAGCCACAGGGCTCACCCAGGCTGCTGTATAGAGAGACTCGGCACAGCTGGGTCGGCCTCGCGGCCTCTCACCTGTATCCTCCTGCTCCTAGGAGAGGCCACTGCTGCCACCCTAGAAGACGCTGTACTTCTTTTACCAACCCTGACCCACTAGTGGACTCCTCCCCACCCTGTCCAAACCCCACCAAGAAGGCGCAGGCGGGTGTCGTTTCCACCTGCCCAGCAGTGGAACAGCCCCTACAGGTGTCTGCACGCCGATTTTCCTTGGGGAACCACCTCTCCTCCTCTGGGTCCATGTGGTCTGGCCAGAGGAAGCCATACCCAGCCCCAAGCAGGGGCCACAGAGGGAAGGCACACAGCCTCCAAGTGCTCCTGGACCTGGGTGGAACTGTCACCATGCTGGGCACCGAGAGCAAGGCCAGCTCGGAGGGAGCAAGGCCGAGTGACAGAGAGACCATCCCCATGACACGGACCCTGGAAGAAACCTCGAGCCATGCAGCCTTTTCAGAGCCTATAACAATAAATCTCCATTTTCTTTTCTTAAGCCAGACTGAGTTGTCTTTCTGTCACTTGCAACCAAGAGTCCCGACAAAGACACCACTTAGAAGGCTCCCTGCTCACATGCAGCCTGGCCGGCAGTCAGCGGAGCCCAGGGCTACACTCCTCACGGACACCCGTTCAGCTTCCTCAGCAGACCCTTACTGAAGACCCACCCTGGCAGGCCCAGTGCTGAGCCCTGGGATAGAGATGAGACGACTGGGGCTATCGTGGCCCCGACTGCCCCCGTGGACCCAGGGCCTGGGTGCTGCAGCCCCTTGGGATGCTGGCCACCTCCTCTGCAAAGCCATAGCTCATGCCCATTCCAGCCCCCTCACATGGAGGGCGAGGTGTCCCAGGGGGCCCAGGGGAGGGACCCCAGGGAACATGGGACAAACAGGGAGCCAGGACCGCACTCCCCAGAAATTCCCGCTCCTGAGAGCTCAGCACACACGGCGTATGTCACCCACAGTCACGCACGGGATGCTGAGGGAGGACGGACGCTGCTGCCCACCTGAGGGAGCCTCAGGGAGAGACTTACTGTCACGCAAGGGTGCGGGGCTTCCATGGGGAAAGCCATGCCCGGTGAGGAGAGCTGGGGCGGCGGCTGGCACCAGCACGAGTCTCGTCCGAGCTCCCAGGCTCACGCAGCCCGGCAGGGGCCAGAGTGTGAAATGTCTCCCCCGGCCTCACAGCCAGGGTCCCTCGGGGTCCGGTACACGGGAGCCCCAGCTCCAGGCCAGACGGACACTGGGAAGCCAGGCACAGGGCGCAGGGGGCAGCGCGTGGCTCTGACTGAAACAGAGCAGGAGACGGGCTGGCAAAGATGCCACTCAGCTTGCAGCTGCAAAAGGCCTCCAGGACACCTGTAAGTACTGACACAACCCGTCCATGGCACGATTTAGGAAAAAATAAAGGCAAAGGATGAAGGGAAGCTGCCGCACTGCGGTCCACGGCCCGGATGACCACACAGGGAGCCGGAGCCCAGTATCGGAGCCTCCGTGATGGCTGCTCAGTCGGCCTCTGGCCACCCAGGCCAGACGACACTCGGCCCCAGCCCCGCGCCAGTCCCTGGGCAGCCGTGTCTGCTGCTCCAGAGAATCGCAGAGGACTCTGAACAAAGAGGCCCCGCGGCGCAGGCCCCCGCCACAAGGAGAGAGAATCCGACAGGAGAG